GCTGCTGCAGGGGGTTGGACTGGGTGACCCACAGAGGGCCCTTCCAACCCCCAACTTTCTGTGACTGTGAATCCCAAAGCACAAAGCCACTAAGGGTAAGGTTAAAGGAGTGATTCTAAAGCGGGCAGGGCTGAAGCACGATTTACACTTTAAGAAGATCGAGATAATTGTGAGAACATTAGGACTGAGTCGCAGTTGTGCCACCATTACAGCCTTACTAGCCCACAGCCAATGTGCCTGCACTATAGGTGCACGGGAACCCAAAAGGAAGGAAAAGAAAAAGGATCAGAAAGCACAAAGTAGGTGAATACTTCTATTTTCAAAACCTGGCTTAAAACTTCAGACAATTTCCTGCCACAGATCATCAAGGAAAGGGTGGGGAGAACATGCCCGCATTATCTCGCCAGCGGACCTTTCAGTGCAGATGTTAGGCCAAGTTGCATCTTTTTGCACGGCATTTTTTATGCCCATGTCATTTCAAGCCCATCCCCTGGCTGAGGGCCGATGTTACGTTCCTGGCTGCGGGTCTTTCGCAGGCCAAGGACTCCCAGAAGCACAGAGAGCACTCGCGTGTCCTTCTGCCCCCAGGAAAGCATGAGTGTTGGTGATTTCATGCCACAAACTGTGTGCAGCACAACAACTCCCTGTCACATCCCCAAAGCGATCATCCTTACTCATCTTTGCCTCTCTCTTTACATTTCTGCCTTTCGGCTGAGTAATTATGGAGAAATCAGGGCAAATTCAGCCCTTTCCTCCACATCTCATGGTCTGCTCTAAATGAAACAAAAAAGCATCCACACCAATGTATTAGCATCTGTCAAAAAACCATAATTATATTACTACTGCTTCCTAGTCCCAAAAGTGCATAGTCCCTCCTACCTTGCAACACATTTGTTTCACACCAGACTCAACAGTCCTGGTACAGAAATCAGCTGTAGTACAGAGACCGTGGAGTTTGGAACCAGTAAAGCACCAAGCTTGCTAAGATGGAGCTGCTGCAGCGGCAACACGTCCCGGTGGCTGCTGGACCTGCAGAACCCCTCTGCAGCGCTTCACTCACGGGATGCAAGTTCATCCCATTGCCCCGATCCCAACCCCACCAGGCTTCAGATCAGCTGCCTGAAGCTGCGCTGAGCTTCAGCGAGGCAGCAACTGTCCTGGCAGCGGTGCTGTGGTGGGAAGAGCCCATACAGGTGAGACTGCAGGTATCTAATTAAAGTAACTTACAGAATCACAGCATGGTAGGGGTTGGAAGGGACCTCTGTGGGTAATCTAGTCCAACCCTCCTGCTGTCACCTACAGTAGGTTGTAGAGGACCTTGTCCAGGCGGGTCTTGAATATCTCCAGAGAAAGAGACTCCACAGCCTCCCTGGGCAGCCTGGGCCAGGGCTCCATCACCCTCAGAGTGAAGAAATTCTTCCTCATGTTCAGCTTGCCCCATGACTCTACGACACTTCCTTTCTGGTTACCTCTGCCATGACCCTGCCATCACCTACTACTTGTTAACTCCAGCATTTCTTAGGGAGGGGACCATTTCTCATGCAGGACCTTTCTCTTGGGACTGTCATCCCCTGTCATGCTAGCACTTTGCTGAAATACTTTGTAATGAAAACAAAACAACGGGAAACAAGCAAAATCCCCAACCCACTAT